AAAAGAAACAAAGAATTTTTTTTAAGTTAGAATGTTATAAGGAGCCTCTGGGACATCTCGAAACGTGCCAACATCCAAATCATAGGGATGCCAGAAGGAGAAGAGGAAGAGCAAGAAGTTGAAAACTTATTTGAAAAAAAAGAAAGAAAACAACTCTAATTTCATGAAGGAAATAGGCAAACAAGTACAGGAAGCACAGAGAGACCCAAACAAGTTGGACCCAATGAGAACCACAACAAGACACATCATAATTAAAATGCCAAGGGTTAAAGATAAAGACAGAATCTTAAAAGCAGCAAGAGAAAAGGAGACAGTTACCTGTAAAAGAGTTCCCATGAGACTGTCAGATGATTTCTCAAAAGAAACTTTACAGGCTAGAAGGGACTGGCAAGAAGTATTGAAAGTAATGAAAAGCAAGGACCTAGATTACTACATCCAGAAAAGCTATCATTTAGAATGAAAGGGCAGATACAGTGCTTCCCAGAAAAGGTAAAACTAAAGGAGTTCATCATTACCAAGCCATTATTAGATGAAATGTTAAAAGGAACTATACAAGAAAAAGAAGATCAAAACTATGAATACTAAAATGGCAACAAATGCATAACTATCAACAACTGAATCTAAAAAAGAAACTGAGCAAACAAACAGAACAGGAACAGAACCACAGATGTAGAGATCATCTGAAAGGTTATCAGCTGGGAGGGGGAAGGAGGAAAAGGTGCAGGGGGTAAGAAGTACAAATTGGTAGGTACAAAATACACAGGGGGAGGTTAAGAACACTATAGAAAATGGAGAAGCCAAAGAACTTATATGCATGACCCATGGACATAACTAAAGGGTGGGGACTGCTGGAGGAAATGGGGGTACCAGGCGGAGGGGAGAAAAGGGAAGAAACTTGGGACAATTGTAATAGCATAATCAATAAAAAATATATTTTAAAAAAACTACTTACCAAAAGATAAAAATTGTAATATAAATCATCCTAATAGTTTCAAAATCATTTGTTCAGTTTTAGAAATTGTGGTATGATTTCCTGCTTGATGTGGTTGCCACTAGCTACAAGATGCCCTTATCTGAGCCATGATTTAATTTAGGAATATACAAACTCTCCTGTCAGTTTCCCCATTTAACTGACAGTCATAGGTCCCTGGTGCTGAAAGCTTTGTTGCAGCCAGCAAGGGTGGCTGGATGCTGCCCATGTATGACCACCCATACATAGCTGGAGACCAGCACTTCTCACATGGCCGGGATCTAGACAGACTGCCTGCACGTTGGCTCTTTTGACAATGCCAACCCAACACTGAGCTACTGTGGAGCAGCAGCGAGATACTACCTACGTCCCCTACCCCTGCTGCCACCACCCTCTGGTGTAAGGCTATCAATGTCCCCTCCTGCTCTGTTCCTACCTCTGCAGCAACCCAAAGTAACATCATTAGCTTTGCGGTCTCAACTTACTCAATTTATGAAGCAGAATGAAATTTTAACACTGCTACAACCTTAAAATTATATATGAGCTGAATAACTCCAAATTTCTTTCATGCATGTTGTGGTTTTCTATTTCAACACAAGACACTTTTACTTTAACCTGAAATTTTCTTCTGAGATCCACTGAAGTCTCTGCTTTCTTCTGTTGCCTACCCACAGATTTCAGGCTCTGTCTTAGAAAAAGTCCAAGTTTTCCACGTAGATCAACTTAAAGAAGCATTTACTCCCCAGAGACTATTTTCCCACAATCCCAAATCCTATGCAGCAGGGGGTGGCAGCAAGAATCAAGAAGCACAGCCAGGGGCAGAAACTAGTTGAGTGTTCCCAACTCTTTCTTTTCTCTCTCCTCCCTTCTTTCCTTCCTCTTTCCCTCCCTCCCTCCTGTCCGTCCTTCCTTCCTTCCTTCCTTCCTTCCTCCTTTCCTTCCTTCCCAGCTTACTTTCTTGCTTTCATGTAAGCACCTCCCCTCATTATTACCTTACCTACAGCATTTATACACAGATGTGAAATTATTTCATTTCTGACCCAGATTCTGGCTTTGAGTATCAAGTCTTTCTACACTCCACATTTCTTCATATTTCACCATGAGGATTATAAACTTACCTGAAATGATAGAAATTTATTTTGCTTTCAACTTCTCGTCTGCTGTCTGCTGCTGAAAAGCAGTACATAATGAGAAGTAGAGCAACAACCTGGCCTGATGCCCAGCTGGGAGCAGATAAGTTCGCCTGAAAAAAACTTGATGCTCCAAATTCCAAACAGTGGAAAGAGGACTGGGGGTCAGGGGGAGGAAGATCTGGAAATATGCCCATGGGTAGTAATGAGGAAGGTGAATTCAGCCTGAGGGTGGGACCTTCTGCCTAGCCTCTGTCAGTTTGATGCCTCATTATATTCTCCACCTTCCCTAACCTCAGGACATTAAATTAGGGAGCAGATGGAAAAAGCAACTGAGAAAGCAAGGCAATACAAAGCATGTTAGGAACTAGGTGGAGAAGGGAGTTCAAGTACTTAGTGTAGGCCAGATTCACTGGCTGGAACATTAAGGTTAAGGCAGATAGATACATACCTGTAACTCTATGTACTGAACATACAATCTTATCACGTCATCCCCACCATCCACTTAATCTCAGGTAATGGTTTTACTTACAACTCTCCCAGCCTTCCTCCATGCACCCTACACTCTAATCATCCTGATTACTTTCTGTTCTCTAAACATGCAAGCTCCCAAGCCCTTGAACATGTTAGTGTGTCCCTCTCCCACTCCCCCATGCAGAAAACTCCTACTATTTCTTTATGACTCAGCCCAAATGCAACGACCTTCTGGTATCTTCTCTGATGCCCCGGGTCAACATTACTCACTCTCTACCACTTATCGCAGTAGTGGTTAAGAGGACAGACTCTGGAGTCAGAGAGACTTAAGTCTGAATCTTAGTGAGGCAATTTACTACATATGCAACTGCGGTGGCCAGCCTGCAGGATGGCCCCCACTGGTCCCCACCTCCTGACATTCACATCTTGTTTAGTCCCTTCCCACATTGTATCAGGCTTGGTCTGTGTGCCTGACAGAAACGGTAGGTCATTTGAAATTAGTTTATAAAGGATTCTACGGCTTCCATTCTAGGCTCTCACTCTCTTTCTCTCTCTCTCTTAAATTACTTGCTTTGGGGGAAGCCAGCTGCTATGGCAAGCAACCCTATGGAGAGGCCCAAGTAGCAAGGAACTAAGTGTGCCAACAACCATGTAACTGAGCTCAGAAGCACACTCTCCACCCTAATAGATGCCTGCAGCCTCAGCTAATACTCTGACTGCAGCCTCATGAGAAACCCTATTCCAAAACTATCCAGCTGAGCTGCTTCTAGATTCCTGAACCACAGAGGCTAAAAAAAATACATGTTTGCTTTAAATTGCTAGGCTTTGAGGTAGTTTGTTATACAGCAATAGATAACTAACACACCTGAGAAGGGATAGCAACAGCCTAGGATTTTTGGTAAGAATATTTGGGGTCACATCTAGGCAATGGTGCTTACTAACAGAATAAACCTGAGAAAGGGGTTTCCAGAGCCTGAGTTTCCTTACTTGGAAAAGGAGAAAACAGATGGTAATAATGCACTACAAAGTAAATAGCGTATCCTAAAACTAGAACATAGTAAAATAATCAAGCTACAAATAAAATCTCTAGCAAAACAAATCTGATCCCTAAGGTACTGAGGTTCAGAGAGCCCATCTAAAATAAGCAGAAAACTCATAAGTGTTATAAAAGCAGCTCTTCATTGTCTTTGAATTGAAATAAAGGGTCAGACTAGTTCTAAATACCCAAATGATACTTTAAAATGCAAACTATAGCCTACTTACCTAAATTAAAATTTGTATCATTATTTAAGACCTAGCACACAAAGGCTATATTGCTTGTAAGCAGTCTAAAAAGCTGGAGGTCTAGTTTATTCCAAGCAAAATTCTTTTTTTTAAGGTTTTATTTATTTTATTTTTAGAGAAAGGGAGGGAGAAAGAGAGGGAATGAAACATCAGTGTGTGGCTGCCTCTCAAGTACCAGCAACTGGAGACGGGGCCTGCGACTCAGGCATATGCACTGGCAGTTGAACCAGCGACCCTTTGATTCACAGGCTGGCACCCAATCCACTGAGCCACACCAGCCAGGGCTGAGGAAAATTCTTTATATTTCCTTCATCCTTCATGCATTCGAATGAGGTACACTGAGCCTCCTTCCTAAGCACCAAACGGTTCTCTTGCTCAAAAAGATGGAGGTACCAATTCTGTTGTCAAACTCAATTCACATGCTTTTTAAGGAATAAAGCTAATATGTAATACATATTTGGGATCACACTAATGTGGCATAGCTGTTCTTGAACATTAAAGATAAGAAGAAAAAAAAAGATAAGAAGAAAGCAGAAACAGCAAAGGAGAGAGAAAGCCTTGAGGCTTAAACTTCACTAAAATATGACTTTCAATTGCCTCTAGTTGTACTGTTTGTCAAGAATTATAAGAGATAATCAGATCACATTAGGAGGAAGGACTCTCCCAGCCAGGCCTCTGTATACATAATCTGCCTACTTAGCAGAGGCTAGACAGCTAGGCCAATGTAAGCCAAGAATGGACCAGAAGTTCTATCCCTCTGGCCTTTCACTACCTTCTAACTACTGATGATAACTTTGATGCTAAAGCCCAGGGATGCCTAAGAAGTCTGCTGGTATTCGCTGCCTTTGGATTAAAACAGCCACCCACAATCCAGTGACTTTCAACGTATCCGCCCTGCTCCTTATGTAATGTGCCTACAAGTGATAATGAAGATCTACATGCAGAATCCAAATTGTGATTTGTATTGTACTCTTCCCCCTTCTGGAAAGATGTATAATAAATCCAGGCCATAAAATGCTCCCTGACACTTCTCCACACACAAATTTGTTTTTTTCCGAAAGAAAGTATACATAAAAACTTTGCTATAAATTTCCTATTACTCAACTCTAATGTGCACACATTAAATGGACCTCGGTACTTACACATAGAGATCCATAGGAAACTCCTTCATCATGTGTGTTACAATAAACTCCACCATCAGGTCTGAATGGGGAAAGGAGAAAAAGTCAATCAATCAGAATAAAATTCACTCCTTGCCTGTGTGTTGGAAAAAACTCTGAGTAAACCTTGCACTCCTGCTGAGTGTCATTTACTTAGCATATCTTTATCCCCATGCTTAGATTTACTTTATTTAAGGCACTTTTGCAAAGCTTTTCACAACCTGTCACTTATAACAAGAACATTACCTCACTCTCCTAGTTACAGAAGGACACCTTGACCTGCCAATAAATTCAGATACAGGGGATTTCGCTGTGCGCGTATTTCATACCATGGTACTGATAAAAAATGCCAGAGGGGGGAATCACATTCTGAGAACAGAGTGACGAGGCGAGCAGAGAAGACGTGATGGATCCCATCCATGCAAACCAGAGACTCGGCCCTTCTGAAGCTCTGCCGACCACATCTCACTGTCACGTTAGGTTTGACAGATATTGACTAAAGTGGTCTGTGGGGCTGTGGGTCAATAGAAGTTTATCAGGTAGTCTTAATCATTGGTTCTGAAGTCAAGAATGTAGGAACTAGGGCTGAACATCCAAATGAAATGGGACTAAGAGTTCATATCATTCCTCTGAGGAAAATGCAGCATTCTGACAAAATTGCCTAAGATACAGCCCCCCTACCTATGAGCTCTGCCAGCCTCACCTCAGCTTAATTTACTCAGAGGAAGTTTTGCATGTCTGAACCTTGTCTGAACCTTGAACTTCAAAAAAGAACCAAGAAAGGGAGGGAAGAATTTGAAATCTTGATCAGGAGTAAGGTATTTCACAAAAGTAAATCATGTATCAAGTTTAGATTTAGCCATTTGTCTCCTTGGAAAGATCTTTTCCTTTGAACAAGAGCACCCTTTAATTGAGCATTTCATTCACCGAAATTAACAATCTTACCAAACTTAACAAAAAACATGGTTTCTTAGGCCAGGAAAGAAATATAACTAGTAAAAACTTCTCTGAGAAAAACGCGTATCAGCCAGAATCCAACCCTCATCTTAATGATGAAATCCTGTCACTGACTCAGAACAACGCCAATCATGATGACACTCACCCAGCACTGCACATACTAAAGGACGGCACGGAAGGTTCTTGTCTGCTGCCTTCTTCCTGTGCCTCATGGGCTTCAAACAAAAAAGAAATTAAATTAATAGGCCCCTGAACTGGTACCCAATGGCTCATCACCACGGTTTTCATGCAAATAAAATCACTACTATACCCCTGGTTGGTGTGGCTCAGTGGATTGAGCTCAGGCCTGCACACTGAAAGGTCACAGCTTGGTTTTGCCTATGGGGCGCATGCCTGGGTTGTGGGCCAGGTCCCCAGTTGGGGGCGTGTGAGGGGCAACCAATCAATGTTTTTCTCCCTCCCTTCCCCTCTCTCTAAAAATAGGTAAATAAGTCTTTTTTACAAATCACTAGTACAGAGCTGTTACCTTTTCTAGCAGTGGGGGCAGCGTGGGGTGGGGCAAGAAGGACTTGTGAATGCTTCTCAGTTATCAATGCAAGCTTGTGATAAAAACACAATTCACAGCAAAACAGCAGCCCTACAGGGGGCTGGAGCATACTATACAATGGGAAAGCTATTGTTTTTACCCTGATTTTATCTGTACAAGTGACAATACAGCAAAAGGTATAATGGTATTTTTCTTCGATAAAATAATATTTAAGAAAAAAAAAGACAAAGTGACTCTGTAGAGGCAGCAAAAGTGGCAGCTGCAAAAAACAAAAGTCAATTTCATATAAAAAACCTCTATATGGGAATTTGAACGTATCTCCAAGTTTTAGGAAACTTCTTGATCCTTCGTATTCTATTTCCCTACCCCACCCCACCCCCATCCCTGCTACTCAGATGAATAAACAAAGTAGTGTCTAGTCTTAACTAAACTAAGATTGGACTACATTTTGAAAAGAAAAGGCGTAGGCCTTGTTGAAACCTGATCACTGATACATTCTAAAACCACTGCCATGGGTATGTGGCAGTGGGTCTTTCCACTTCTCCTAAGAAAGAAACAACTCCAGGCCGCACACAAAGTCCCCAGAAAAGGCCTGGGTCTACTGAACAGCGGACAAGCAAGGCCCTTTAGCAAAACATTCCACCCACGTTTGTTCCAAGTGGGGTCAATTTCGTCCTCCCCAATCCTGTCAACACACAAAAAAATCTCCTCTAAGAAAAAAACAAGAAAGAAGAGTCATACCTACCATTTTATGTAAGTTTACTCGAAAATTCATATTGTCATCATGCAAAAATGCATTGGCATACTGATCCTAATAAAAATAAAAATATAGGGAAAAAGTAAGGAATGAGAGCTATACTTAAGAAATTCAGTTTATGATCTATCATACTTCCTACAAACTCTTGTACTTTAAGAACTACTTTTGAGGATCAGTTGGAGAGCTAATGAGATGAGCCTAGAGCCTTTATGTCAAATCCTACTTATGAGCAGGGGACCCCAAAAACAGCATTATCTTCTGGAGGGAAGGTCTGATGTAGTACAGGCTTCCCCCACTAGGTGAGTGTTCTGGGAACTCTTCTGTAACAGTGTACCAGCTGGCATTGCTGTGAGAGGCTGCATTCAGCTTCGGAGAATTTTTTTTTTTGAAGAATCTTTCAACATATGGTAGGAGCATCATCCCACACGCCAAAAGATTATGAGTTCAATTCCCAGCCAGGATGTATACCTAGGTTGCAGGTTCAATACTCGGTCAGGGCATGCACAGAACCAATGAATGTTTCTCTCTCACATCAATATTTCTTTCTCTCCTCCCCCCCCACACACACTCCTATCCTCTCTCTGAAATCAATAAACATATCTTTGGATGCAGATTTTAAAAAAAAAGAATTAAATGCACAGGGACTTGAAGAAAATGCCGAGAGGAACCTGTTTTCCTATTCTTTCTTCCTTCCCATCTGCCCAAGGAGCCTGCTCTGTTTGTAACAGCTTGAAGTTTTTCACAGGGGCTGCAGGACACAAGTGCAAGCTCCACATGAGGATCTACAATTGAGAAGGTCTGTGGTCCACTGGGAATGGGCTTGGCACGGCAGGAGACAACTGCACAGGCACATGGCAGTATGCGAGACCCCGTCTGTCTCCGGCTTCCCTGAAGACTGATGGGAAATCAAAGACCTCTCACCATGGATGGGTAATAAACATCCCTTGGCCCCTTCCCAACATCTTAGCTGAAGATCTGATATGCCTACAGACTTCAATTATTAAGAACCATTACAATTTGTGAAAAACAACTCCTTTCTTTTTTTTGTTGTTTTTTTTAAATTTTTTTTATTGATTATGCTGTTACAGTTGTTCTATTCCCCCTTCATTCCCCTCCACCCTACCCCTCATCCCCACCATTACCCCCCCTTTAGTTTATGACCATGTGTCTCGAGTCCTTTAGATTCTATATTTCCCATGCTATTCTTGCCCCCCCCCATCTATTTTCTATCTACTGTCTATGCTACTTATTTTCTGTATCTTCTCAAAACAACTCCTTTCAATATTTTCTTAGAAAGCTTTTTGAAAAGCAATGACACCAGGCACTGCTAGTCAGCAGCTGTGCTATAACCAGCTATCCCTACTGGTGAGAAGCAGGTAGCTTTACACAGAAAGCACAGAAGGGGAAAGTGAGAGATCTCTCTCTGCTCCACGTGGCCCACCTTAACTGCTTTAATGAAGGGGAAGGTCGAACTTACAAATTCAGCTCTAAATTGACTCAAGTTCTGCCACACCTGTGTTGCCACCATGATTCAGGGTGAGTTCAGGCCCAATTAATATAGGCAACAGTACGGCCTTATGAAGCCAGAGCACCTCTTTAACTCCTTGGGTTCTTAGTTTGGGGAAACTGCACTCAGCCCAGCTTAACTTGCTTTCTGATTGCCCTTCTTTGGCTTTTCTCTCCACCTCCCCCCACAGGAAACCTGAGCTTTTCTCATTTTGTGAAATGGAAAAGATCCAACATGAGCCACTTTGAAGGGGCAGAATTATTTTTTCTAAAGAGGGTTAAGTCTCTTGTTTCAAACTATTACAAAGTTCTCAATTATAGCAGCTATCATATCATAATTCATTATTAATTCATACAGTAAATACTAAATGAGCCTCTACTACGTGCCAGACACTGAGCATAGACTGGTGAAGTAGACAAAAATACCTGCTATCAGAGCTTACATTCCAGTGGGAGGAGAGAGGGCACATTTTCTCTCCAAAGCTTTAGGGCCCTAACTGTCAGGAAATGGTTAGGAAGGGCAGAAAAAGCTAGCATTTTTTTAAAAATTAGCTAACACCAGGGAACTGGCGAAACTTACCTCTGCAATACACGTGAGGATGATCAGACAGAGTTTGCCGCTGTGAAGCCGGTGCTCATCTGTCAAATGAAAATAAAACCTTTCTCCATAAATCATCCAGACCATGTTTCTACAGAGAATGAAGACGAGTATCATCAAAAAGAACATTCACACTTTTTTCCCCCACATAATTCACAAATAAAAATCAGAGTTCTACTACAGTAATTCTTGCTTTTTTCCTAGGCAAAACGATTCCTCCAGGAGATTTTTTTCTTACATATTCTGATTGACAGCTAACTACCTTCCTGGGAGCCATCCAATTACTGTAATGGTTCTACTGTCATGGCCCAAATCAGGCCCATGCCCTTTGCTTCCAAATCAGACTTTGCTTCTCAACAGGTCCATTCCCTTTCCAACCCCTCCCCGCTCACCAGCTATAAGCACGGCCAACTATCCCCACCTAACTATTCATAGCAAACTGGTAGTGTAATCAGGAAGAAACTAACTGGAGACCAGGGTCCAGCTCAGGCTTCTCCTTACGCTGTGCACATTATTTACAAACACAAAAGCTGTGAGCTCTTGATCATTTTTCTTACTGCCAAAGTAATTTACTCTATAATACCTACTTAGTACCTACTATGTAGCAGGCACTGCACTGGGCACTAGAGATATAGCACTGAACAACACAAAGGACTCTGGTCTCCCAAAACTCACATTCTAGTTGTTAAAAAAAGAAGAAAACAACCTCAATAGTACGGGTCTCAGCCCACACGCATGACCAAGAAAGAGCTACTCCATCCTCTCCAATTACCAGAACCATCAAAGCTTATTTACTTTCCACAATCTTTGTGAGTGAAGGGGTGAAATGGAGGTAAGAAGAAGGTCATACAAGCTCACCCAAAATAGACAAATGGCTAACGATGTTTCAAATTACCTCTGACAGGCTCCAGACTGAAGTTCATTCTGGAGAGAAGATCTATGAACAGACGACAGTACTATCACAGTGAGCTAACAGCACTCAGCCTAACATTAACCTGCCATCAACAAAAACCTGACAATGAGAAAGCATGAGGGGGGTTATAGTGCAGAAACACATTTACCTCTCCTCTGCATGATGACTGTCCCTAGCTGACACTCCCCACAGCTTACACCAGAGCCCCTGGGCAGTCAGAGGAGAAGTGCCCCTGCCCATGCAAATCATGAGACTCTTCCACCACTGCCTCTGGCCACAGAGTTTCTCTGGCATTATCTTCCCTACCCCCAAAACCTGATAAGCAACTCCTGTAGGAAAGACTGCAGCCACTTCTGCACTTAAAAAAAAATGTTTTTGAATGTAAAATAAGCCACATCTCATTATAAACATTTTAATTCAGAAAAGGGCAATAAAAACTAAGTTTAATCATACCACCCAGATGTCATTTCTGTTAAGACTTTGATGAATCAACTTGAAGTCTATATATAGATAAATATGTATTCTAAAAAATTTTTGCCTAATGTCTATTTTCAAGGTTAAGCAGATTCTCCTTTAAGCTGACAACACTAAGTCAGAAGAACCTCAGGGAAAAAAAGACTGAAAGTAGAGCCAAACCAAGGGAGAGACAAACACTAAATTATGGAGAATTGAGAGGAAAGGAGTGAATGGGGAGGGGGCACACAGGTAGCTTCAACAGCATTAATAATTGCTTAAGCTGGGTGGTAAGTTCACATATATTCCTTTTATTACTATACAACTTATGCTATTGATTATACTTATAAACGTTATAACAACATTCATATATATTAAGAGTATATATCTTTAAAGTATACTTTATAGGTGTCGAATGACAAACAAAGGAAAAAGAGATAATATCCAAAAGTGTGAGAAGACAAGGAGAGCAGAGTCAAGAAAAAATGGCTTCTATGCTCCCCCAAACAAGATCTCTTCAGCCAGGGCATACAGAAGGTCACGAGCTTAAGAGACAGGAAAAAAGCCAGTCCAATGAAGCCACACGGGAGCCATTTTTGAAATTAATGCTTCATCATACCTAACCTTGCCCCTTGCCATGTTTAGGCTGCCTGTAGGCAAAGAGCTAACCCAGCCTATGTTTAGAGAGAGAGAGCCTGAGGCAACCCATATGCAATTATTCTGCTCTCAATTTTGCCTTCCATTTCATGGATGGCAAAGTGACCAGGACAAAGAGGTTTATATAATCATGAAAGCTAAAAATGAGTTCCCAGGGCCTCAATTCACTCCATTATATCAAGCAAAACTAAAAGATCATTTTCAGAGTCACATCTACAGTTTCACTTTGCTGTGATATGTTGAGAGAAAGGAAGAGATTACCCCTTTGCATAAGGAGAAGCAATGGCCTCAGGGAACACTTGATACACAAGAGTCTTGTCACCTTTACCTGCCTAACTTTCTGTGCCAAGTCTCAGTGACTCACCCTCTCTGCAGCTCCCCATGGACTGCTCTGTGTAGGAGCTTGTGGCATGGACCACTAGCAGGTAACTCATCCCGGTATATATATAACTGTCTCCCTTGAAGTCACATACTCAGACGGTGTAACAGAAGAAAAAAGTCTAAGAAATCTCCAAGAGCTAATAAAGTATGTCTAAGTATAACAGGATTTAGACTCTGAACACCCAGGTTCCTTTTAACTCTGGCAATTTATTTCCCATATTTATCTTTTAGTTCTCTATCTACCAATGTTTCCTTCTCACTCCCAAAGCCCCCACATCCTGGTCTTACTCTCTTACAAAGCCTTCCGGCTCCATTCTGAAATTCCTGGAAACCCTCATACCAGAAACCTGCCCAGCCCATTTGGCAAATCAGAGCCTTCTAAAGTATACTTTATACCTCAATGAATCTTAAGCCACCTCACAAAGCATTAATCTCCCCTCATAAAAATAAAGTGACACCCTGGCTGGTATAGCTCAGTGGATTGAGCACAGGCCTGCAAACCAAACAACTGCAGTTTGATTCCCAGTCAGAACACATGCCTGGGTTGCAGGCCAGTTCCCAGCAGGGGATGCATGAAAGTCAACCATACACTGATATTTCTCTCCTTCTCTCCTTCTCTTCCCCTCTAAAGATAAATAAATAAAATCTTTAAAAAAAAGTAAAGTGACAACAGTATTTTAGCAATTTTGCTTCTACACTGGTGTTTTTGTTATCTAGGGATCTGAAGCTTATTCATGAACCATAATTTAAGAACCCAAACTTCAATTACTGAGCAGACAAAACAGTTGGCTTCTAAAGTAGGATTTAAAGATTCTTACAAGAAAGGCTTATAAAAGAAGAATATACACCGAATTGTTAATAATGATTAACTCTAAAGAGCTTAATTCCAAAGGAATTTCACTTTGTTAGTTAACCATTGCTAGAATGTTTTAATTTTTAACGAAGACTATTCCAATTACTTTTTTAATCAGGGAAAAAAATCCTTGTAAATGGGAGAAGCCCACTGGATTAAGCAGGGGGTACTGAATAAAACGCTATTAAAACACTATGTGTGGTTATGAAACTATCAGTTATGAAAAACACTTTGGGGATAACTGGGAAAACTAAATATGGACTGAATATTACATGATATTAGAGAGTTATTATTGATTTCCTTAGCTATAATAATGAATATCTTAGAAAATATCCTTCTAATTTTAAGAAAAATTTATTTATTTATTTTTAGAGAGATGGGAAGGGAAGGAGAAAGAGAGGGAGAGAAACATCAATGTGTGGTTGCCTCTTGTACATCCCCTACTGGGGACCTGGCATGTGCCCTGACAGGGAATCGAACCATTGACCCTTTGATTCACAGCCCACACTCAAGCCACTGGGCTACCCCAGCCAGGGTCTTGGAAAATGTCTTTAATTTTGACATACATGCCAATATACTCAAGGTATAAAGTAGAATGATGTCTGCATCTTACTTTAAAATGATTCAGCCAAAATAATAACACACAAAGACATTCAGGGACAAACCAAATTTGGCAAAATGTTAATGGGTATGTGAGTAATCACCAAATGTACTATATGATCCTTTCAACTTCTCAGTATACTGGGAAAAAATTGGAGGGAAAATGCTACCTAAAAGGTTTATTTCTAGAGACTCTTACAACTGGAATATGAGGGCACCTACAGGAGTCAAATTCATAAAGACAAAAAGCAGAATGGTGGTTGCTGGGGGCTGGGGAAAGGAGAGACTGTGGAGAATGGGGAGTTAGTGCTTAACGGGCACAGAATTTCAGTTTCCCGAGATGAAAAGAGTTCAGGAGACAGTGGTGATAGCTGCACAACTAAATGTACTTAATGCCACTGAACTGTAGTCTTAAAATGAACAAAATGGTAAATTTTATGTTATTCATATTTCACCATAATAAAAATAATAGAAATAAATAAAATTATGAACACATACATCCAGTATAAAAAAATAACTGAGCTAAAAAAAGACAAAACTGAAATGTATACTGAATAGAATTTGCTGGGTTTCCTCCCAATCCCTTCTCACTCCCAGCCCAAAGACTCTATTCCCCTACCACCAATTAAAAGACCATAGAAAAACCATAAACAGGAAGAACAGGAACCCACACAGAATAAACTCCCACTTTCCCATGCCCCATTTTTCTCCCACTTTCCACCCTGCGTCTCTGAGCTAGGCATTGACACCTGTGTTTTCAGTGGTAAAGAACACAGTCCCTGCGAGTCTCACCTCTTCCTGCTGTACGTACTCTGCTGACAGTCCTCCACTTCTCACCACAAGCTGGTGTTTTCAGCTCTTGTCCTCAGAAGGGAATTCCCTGAAGCATGCTAATCCCCCCACTTCCCACACAAAAGAGTTTGCATCTACTTATCAAAATCTGCTAAGATGACTTGCCAGTTTTTGTAGAGACCTTTTTTTCCTCTGTTCTATTTCGGAGCACCTTCCCTCCAGTGCCAGGTTTTCCCACCACCACCTAACTACCACTTGGCAGTGGGAAACCACTGTTTTCCAGTAATCAGGACCATCTCCCTGCACAGGCGGCCCAATGGTTCATCTTGTGGAAGCTTCGAAGGATTGATGCTGCTTCCTGCTTCTAGCTAAGCAGCCAGCTGCCACCCCTCCTGCCTCCTGAACCCCCAAAGTAGCATGCCTTACCTTTGGTGTCCTGCATGACAATTGAGCTATACTTTAAGAAGGTTATCAGTAGATTACTGGTCTGTACATCTGCATCCAGTGGGAGTTCCACAGAACTTATAACTGCAAGAGAACAAGGAAATGCAGTTAGCCTATACTATTTAACACTTTTTATCTCCGTAGCCAATTTGTCAGCAGACAAGGAAATCACTAAGCTTTTTCCACAACACAGGGAGGACCAAGCGCTTAATATAAAACTTTTATCTCATCTTCCTAGGCCCCTAGAGCCCTTCCTACTTCGAAGATTAAGCACAGTGCCCATCTCTATCTAGGAGGGCCAAGCTCTAGGAATGGTGCTTTTCTTCCAACATCCGGAAAAGGGTATTTTTTTCAATTATAGTTTATATTCAGCATTATTTTGTACTAGTTTCAGGTGTACAGCATAGTGGTTAGACAATCATATACTCTACAAAGTGTTCCCCCAACATTTCCAGTACTAAAAAGGGTATTTTGATTCCGTTTCTAGCCCCAAATAACACAAAATGGTTCAGGGTCCTTCTTAAGTCACTTTGATTTGTACCTAAGGGAAAGATCTGTACTGAATATAAATGAGCTGTGCTTTGATGAGTCTCTTGCTTAAAATAAATGACAATTCACTCCTAATAAGGAGAAATCTTGTTCAGTTTGAGAATAAGCCTTTAGGCTAGAAATACTGAGGATGGAAGGGGAAACATTTAAGGCAGAACTACAGTCAAATCATACTCCTTAATCCCTTACCCTCAGTGAAAGGGAGCCTAAAAAGAAATACGAGACTGAATATAGGAGGACATTACTGTTTGGGACAGCCTGAGAAATGAGTTTTATACACCTAGCTGCTTGCTGTTTGTTTCCGAGAGAAACCACCCCACCACGGCTGCCACTTTCTAAGCCACAACCCCAGTGAACAGTAAGGGACCAGACCAGAGCTGACCCACACAGAACAATCATATGTAGATGCCTCAAGTTTCTCGGACTTTCAATTAGACCCAGACAGCCCTGGCTGGTGTGGCTCAGTTGGTTGCACATTGTCTAACAAAGTGGAAAGTTGCTGGTTCAATTCTTGGTCAGGTCACGTGTCCAGGTTGCAGGTTTGGTCCCAGTCCCGGGTCAGAGCACTTGCGAGAGGCAGCTGATTGGTGTTTCTCTCGCATATCAATATTTCTCTCCCTCTTTCTCCCCCCATTCCCCTCCCTCTAAAAAATAAATAAAATCTTTTAAAAATAAATTAGACCCAGACATTTTGTTAACTGCTTTACGCTGTCTAAGACATAATATATAAGCAAAAGGAGGCACATAACGGCCCAGACAAGCTAGAGAATCTACCCTTCTGCTGTATTTCCACCCATGAAGACTCAGCTAAGTTTGAGATATTCTTCATAATATGTACTCATACCATAATGGATCCCTATGGAGTTATTATGATATATTCAGAGAACATTTATTAACAATGGGAAACATTTGCATATTATGGATCCATAATACGCAGCAAGCACAGCAAAAAGCCTCATGAGAAGAAATTAGCATGCCCAACCCTTGGCTGTTCTCCCACAGTTCAGCCCCCAAGAATTAATAAAAGACAAACACACTTTTATGTTGAAATACTAAAAGGCCTTAATTCACATTATGGGTAAATGACCTGAGACTGTCATTGCAAACTGTAACAGCCTATTTTGAAGCTCAGAGCCCATAATCATTCCTTTGTCAAACACAATAAGCCATCAAACTGGTAGCTGGGACTTTTTTCCCACTCGCACACAGCAATAACTGGGAAACTGTCTTACATAACACATAGAAATGTAGAAGTATATGTATTTTTAGTTTACCAGAAAGTCCTCTCATGCCAAGGCTGAGTTGTCAAATGTCAAGTGTTAGCTGAGAACAAATGTTACACCTAAACTGTTGGCTTTTAAAAACTGTGGCTCCAGGGCCCTGGCAGGGCATCTCGGTGGGTTAGAGTGTCATCCCAATACACCAAGGTTGCGGGTTAGGTATGGCAAGGGCACATACAAGAATCAACAAATGAATGCATAAATAAGTGGAACAACAAATCAATGTTTCTTCCTCTCTCTCTCCACCCTCTCTTCCCCTCTCCCTGTCTCTAAAAATCAGTAATAGCCTGGCCAGTGGTGGGGACGTGGACTGAGAGCCAGCCTACAAACTGAAAGGTAACCGGTTTGATTCTCAGTCAAGACACACACCTGGGTTGCAAGCCAGGTCCCCAGTTGTGGGCGTGTGAGAGGCAACAGATTGATGTTTCTCTCTCGCTTTTTCTCCCTCCCTTGCCCTCTCTCTTAAAGTAAATATACAAAATCTCTTTTTAAAAAATCAATAATAAAAAAATTTTAAATAATGGCTCCAGTGATATTTCCTCAAATATAGCGGACTACTGAGCACTACTATAATTAAAAAACAAAACCTGAAAACAAGGTTATAATATTTAGGACCTCTACAGAAAGGAAATAAGGTAGGAAAGAGGAAAAAACAAAATAATAAAGAATAAAATCCCTCACAAAATAAAATCTTCTTCCTAGAATAGTTACTCCCTGATCTTTGGCTTCATAATTCTTCCCAGCTGCCTTTGTCAAGGGAGACAGTCATCTGAAAGGGAGCTGACTCCATCTTCCCGTAGGAAAAAAAAAAGCACACTAGTTGTAGGTAAGTAAGCACAAATCCTGCCATTGCATAATCAAATGTGTGGGTGGAAGTGTTCACAATGAACAGTTTGAAAGGCAGTTCTCTGAAGCATCCAAAGCCCAACATCACATGGAACTCAGATATATATGTACATATATATACACACAGCTTTGGATATCCATGGTAACCAGGCAGGCTTCATCCTTAAAGAAAAAGAACAGTATTTCCATTGGATTATTCAGTGACCTGAATAAGCTCAGACAAGTAGGCAATCCTCACTACTGGTTTCTTCTCATTAAAATATTTTGGAATTTGGCTTTCAATTTTAAACAGATCCAATTTGCTACCACAGACTTCAATACCAATGGCAGCTCCCTGTCATGCTTCGGTACCAATACTGCTGTGCTACCTTGCAATGCTACTGCCAAAAGTCCAATATGAAAGTTGAAAGGAGAGAAAGCAGATCACGGAAGGTCATTTCATATACAGACAGTAGGGAGGCACGCAAAAAGAATCGAAGTTAAATTTCCTGTATTTCTTTATCCAAAATGAGGTCAGCATTTAAGGCAAAATATCAAGTATTAACAAAGATTATTTTCTGGTTAAGACATTCCATCAAACATACTCAGCCTACAGTAGAACCAACTCAGATGACATAAAGTTTTTGGGCAAAATTCATAATTTCTTTTTTGTTATCTTTTTCTTAAGTTATAGTCGTAAGATTTATAAAGTGGAAAAATTTTTTTTAATTTTTCAGGGGATGAAGTCTTAAATACCCACCAAACTCCCAATTATAATACCCTCAAAGCTTGCCATTTTCTAAGTGGGAGTGGCTAGCAGACACATAACGGTGAGTAAACATCAGGTTCACTCTCTCATTCATTTATTCAACAAATATTTACTAAGCAATGACCATGGCAGGTGCTCTGCTCAGCAGACAGTAGTGAAAAAAACAGACATGGTTCCCTGCCCTGATTCACGTCTTGGTTCTTGGTTGTAACTCCCACTAACCTTAGGCAAACCACTGAATTCTTTGGCCTCAAGTCCCTCATCTGTCAAATGGCAACATGAGAAAACATTACTATTTTACACGGAAGTCGGCGAGATATTCATAAAACATCTCCCCTGAGCCTCACAAGTATCCTGAGAGTTTGGCAGGACAGGCGGGCATTGCTGGCCTCAGAGATCCCTCCAAGTTCTAGTACTTCATGACTCAAGCATTCCCTGAGGAGGGCACACTGGGATTACATCACTTCTTACCCAGAGAAAAGTACTTAACTATCTTTTTAAAAGTTTTCTTTGGAGCTTAAGGAGTCCTAAAGGACGGTATTTTTTCAAATGGTTTCTTAAGTGAAAGAATCAACAACTGTGTTCTTTGTTAAACACAGCTGTGCTCCCCCTGAAAGATTCAAGACTATATTAGTCAAGAAAACAAAGGTCGTGGGCTTACCATCAGAGGAGGGTGGTGTGGTACCAAGTGGTGTGACTGGGGTTGTTGGGGCAGGGCTGACAGGAGTTGTCACCAGACCCATCTCCGGATGACTCTGAGAAAGAACACAGATGGGTGAGAAAAGAGGAAATCCAGTTCCGAGTATATCCTGATTAACATCCTTTCTGATATCCCTGGCCTCAGAGACACGAAGCTCACTGAGGAGGGACTGCTTCTGCGTTTAGTTCCCATGACTACCTGATTATTGGTGATGCTTGCTAACCACTAATAAGAAGCTCTGTGAGCTAGTTCTTTCTAAGCAACTAAGTTCTCATTATGTAAGTTTTCCCGCAGAACTATACAAATAAAAAACTGGACTAAACAAATACACAGGATTATTCTACAAAAAGGGAGAGGCATTTGCAGTCCTATCTGAACCTGGAAAAGGAATACTCTCTTCAGATCAACCTAAAATACATCTATAGACTATTCTGATGACTACAAAGCTGAAAATAAATGCAGGTGAGCCAAGGGGATAGGAGGTACTATAAAAACAGCTACGAAAATGACAGCCTTCCTGTTCCATAACAAACAAGTGTTGGAATAGGGAGGTAATGGACATCCACTGGGGACCAAAACAGATGGCTGCTCTGTCCCTGACCTTCCTTAGCCATCCCCGCCACATCAGCTCTTGGGAATTAAACTGAGAAGTAGCTACTCCCTGCTCCTCCCCAACAGCTTTACCAGGATTTTATCTTCCCTTACAATCAGTTACAGAATTCAGAAAGCAGACAAGTGAGAATAGTAAATAAAGTCTCTTATGTTATTATGTGTCCTCCGAGGCAGACCCCACACCAGCACACTGCTTTTTGAGCATGACTTTTTGTTTGTTAAACTCAGTCAGTGGATCCCGTACACATTAGCCCTTTGAATAAAGAAACATAAGCAAACTTCCCTTTAAAAGAAACCCACATACATATTTTAAGCAGTCTGGCTTTAAAATGAAAACCCTTTATCAATTTTTAAGACCGCTTTCATGGAGAGCACTTGAGTTGTCAGCCCACTTTAGTCGCACCTGTTCCCACTACTGAGGCTATCCCCGAGGCAAATGACCCAGCTCTCAGTATTCCATGACTTGGTGCTTTTATTTGCAGACCATTTTCTTCTGTTAACAGCCAACCTTAAGGGGGACAGGCTATTTTTTACTTTTCTTCTCTGGAAATTTGTGAGAAACTAAGATAAGTAACTTGGCCTATCATATCTCCAGACATAATTCCAATGGTTTAGAAAGCAGAAAGCCTGATATAAAAATCCATCTGGACAGATAATACCAAGGGATTGCCAGTGAGCCAAATGAAGCAATCTCAACTCACGTGGGTTAACATCAACATCTGGACAAACTGGTCAAAACCATTAACTGTGCATGTTATCTGACCTACTTGGCACCACATGGAATCAGACATACTTGAGGACAGCTCAAAGCAAAGACAACTGATACAACTCTCTGTTACCCCTACTTACCAAAGCAAAGCAGGGCTCAAACAGGCAAATCCAGAGGCTTTTCAATGGCATGATTTGTATGAAATTCAGGAAGAAAAAGAATTGGAGCTTTTAATATAACCAACCTGAGCTAACACTGTGATGAAGTTGCGATTTAAATGAACAGCTTCATAAAGTGCCAGAAGGATAGCCTCATTGGTTCTAAAGAAAAAGAAAACAAATTGAAGAGGCTTTTATAGTGCAGGAGTTAGAACAATATAAGCATCAAAATAAGATTTCATCCCAATTCCTCATTATCAATCCTTTCGAGTTTCTAATGCTTCCTTTATTTCCTTTCCTGGCATATATAAAGTGTATGTAAGCAAAGAGGAAAGAGTAAAGGTCCTTAACTTTAGTTCTTTCATTCTTGCCCTGGCTGGTGTACCTCAGTGGATTGAGCACCACCAGCCTGAGAACCAAAAGGTTGCCAGTTCTTGCCAGGTCGATTCCCAGTCAGGCCACAGGCCTGAGTTGCAGGCCAGGTCCCCAGTAGGGGGCTTGTGAGAGGCAACCACACATTGATGTTTCTCTCCCTTTCTATCTCCCTCTTTTCCCCTCTCTCTAAAAATACATAAATAAAATCTTTTTTTAAAGATTTTATTTCTTTATCTTTAGAGAGAGGGGAAGGAGAGAAACATCAATGTATGGTTGCCTCTAGTGCGCCCCCTGCTGGGAACTGACCTGCAGGGAACTGGCCAGCAACACAGCAATGTGCCCTGACTGGGAATTGAACCGCGATCCTCTGGTTCGCAGGCCTGCGCTCAATGCACTGAGCTACACCAGCCAGGGCTCATAAATAAAATCTTTAAAAAAATTCTTTAGTTCTTATCTACTTCACTCACTATTTTCACTCTTTTTCTCCCCAATCCAGTTAAGTCCTTAACTGGCTCAGATACCCAGCCCTTTTTCATTCCAGGGACAGCTGGGTACAGTTTCTCTGCTTCCTGGGACTCAAAATACGGAACCAAAGTAGAGGTTCCTAAGGGTCCATTAGTGTTAAAAACTCGAGAAACAGTTGATATATTACAAAAAAGTTTGAAACCATAAAAGATTAACAAGAGGTAACGTTTCACACTCTCATATCCAGCTGGCAACTCCACACTAAAGTCCAAGTCACTGCACAAGAATGTCAGTCACTTACTGTACTGATATTTTCTCATGAGCATCTGCTATGAACATGCTGCCCACCTGTGGAAGAAATGGGGAATTGCATACTTACAATAGGAAAATTAGAAAAAGGAGTTCTGCTTAAGAAGTCTTTAATAAAAAAAGTATTTTTTTAAAAATATATTTTATTGATTATGCCCTTACAGTTGTCTTATTTCCCCCCTTCATTCCCCTCCACCCTGCACATCCTTCCCCCACCATTCCCCCCCTTAAAAAAAGTCTTTAGGACTAGTATAAAGGACACATGGACAACAACTAAAAGGGGTGGAAATGGGAAAGAGGTGGGGAACATGGGGAGGTGGGCTGGGATGGGAGTAAAAGACAGAATACTGTACTTGAAAAATAATTAAATTAAAAATTTTTTTAAATAAAAATAAAATTTCAAAGCAAAAAAAGTCTTTTTTAATATATATTTTATTGATTATGCCATTACAGTTGTTCTATTCCCCCCTTCATTCCCCTCCACCCTGCACACCCCCTCTCCCACCATCCCCCCCCTTTAGTTTATGACCACGTGTCTCAAGTTCTTTAGATTCTATATTTCCCCTACTATTCTTGCCCTCCCCCCCCTATTTTCTACCTACCGTCTATGCTACTTATTTGCTGTACCTTCTCCCCCCTTCTCCTTCTCCCACTCCCCTATTGCTAACTCTTCATGTGATCTTCACTTCTATGGTTCTGCTCCTGATCAAGCTGTCCTCTTAGTTTGCTTTTGTTTTAGGTGTGGTTCTTAATAACTGCGAGTTTGCTGTCCTTTCACTGTTCATCTTTTTATCTTCTTTTTCTTAGGTAAGTCCCTTTAACATTTCATATAATAAGGGCTTGGTGATGATGAACTCCTTGAATTTGATCAGTGAAAAAACAAGATACTTGTGGCCCAAGGGAAATTAGAACTCTGGCCCCCAGTTATTCACACAGCCAAATCAGCCCACTTTGAAGATCTTAAAGGACTAAGTAATAAATGAAATACTGATGACTGCACTAATTGTCTTCCCTTAAAGAGACTCAAAAACAATCCTAGTACTTTTTTTTGTCCAGCTCTCCATTTCAATGGGTAAGTTCAGTAAACCACTGATAGCGAGTAAAGTTGACTTAGACATTCTCATCACTGTGCATCTTTCTTGGAAGTTGCTTTGTTTCAGTCAAAAACTAATTCATGAAGAATATCACAGAAAGTAGGCTGACTTCATCCAATGTAGAGACATTTCGGGGAGGAATACTTGAGTTTCAGACCAGAACTATGTGAGATCTATTGTCCATCTTTCAGATCACAACATCTTTAGTCTGTGTCATGGGCAGGGCAGCTGAATAAGTAAATGCAGTGGGCTGCCTCCAATATGTGTGATATCAGAGGCAGTAAGAAAGATGCATATCCCTCTAAAAATGCCTTTCCATATGTTTACTGATGTCCAAAACTATGCAGCTGGAACTTCCTTAGGCAAAGATCCCTGAGAGCAATATAATTGTATCTAAATCATTTAACCAAACACCAAATACAGTGCTCATACTGCTCTGATCTCTGAGAGACTTTAGTTATTGATGCTTCAGAGTTAAAGAGCTTATCAAGTCCTTCCTGAGAGTAGACTCTAAGAAAAAAGGGGAAAGGACATAGTCATTGGTGTGGGGGGGTTACCTTTTAAGGGTAAAGGGATGACTGTTTCTTGCAATGAACTCAAACTTGTCTTGCTCTAGGGCTTATTATTTAAATACTAAGGCCCAAGAAGTCTTTGTGAATCTCCCTAGATTCTAAGACCTGCTAGATTAGTCTTTAAATTAATCGCAGACTATCTGACCCAAAACACCTGTGATGCCCAGGCTGTAAAAACCCTGCTCAGCAGCCTTGCAAAGTGGACTGGTAAGTATTGAAGACCATGGACCTCCCAGCCCATTAAGCCTTTAGACAAGTGGCTCAACTCCACTACATAGATCCCTCAACTCCAGGACCAGCTATGAGGAAATAAGTGACCATAGCAAAGTTAGAATCAGATCTAAACCCTCCTATTGTTGGTACCATAGGGTTGGTCCTCAAACAAAGCCAACTCTACAGAAAGCAGAAGTCTGGCTTAATATGTACTTTTACTGTAGCCTTTAAAAACTAAATTACTGTATTTTGCAATGTATAATGTGCTCCTGTGTATAATGCACTCCCCTGTATAATGTGCACCCACATTTTTTACCAGAACTTTCAGGGGAAAAAAGCTTTTGTTTTAATTTTTTTATTCAATTTTTAATTTATTTATATTTAGAAACAAAACCGAATACCATATTCCAGGGTATTACTTTGTGTATGGATATATTATTGCTTTCTAGAGTTACATTTTAATGCATAAGCATAAATAAAAGAATTTAAAATATTTATATAAATATAAAATTAGATATATTCATGTATAATGTGCATCCTTACTTTTCCTTCAAAAATTCAGGCCAAAAAGTGCACATTATACACAGCAAAACATGGTAATTGATATGAGAAAAAAATCTGTCCCAGGGAAATCAGAGCTCTCCTCTCCCCTATGTCACTTTGGTTTGGAAACTACTAAAAGAGATACAGCTCTCAAAATAATCTGCTCTGAGTAGCCCTCTCTCTCCCCTAATCATGCCATCATCTCAAACATCTTAACTTCTCTGTGTCCAGATTTGTCTACCTCTATAGACCTCTTATATTTCTGAGCAGGAGGAAAAAAAACAAGTAGGACTTACCATATTTGTTAAAGCAGAGAAAAAACCGCTTTGGTGCTCTTCTTCCTTGTCCTTATACTGCCTAAACAAAAATAACTCAATTCAACTTTACTATTATTTATCAAGTACGTCTTTGTCCTTAGCATTCTTGGCAATCAAGGCAGGGCACTTGTAGAATTCACTCCAGAAAACAAAAGCTCTGTGATAATACAGTCGCTGCAGTTTCTCTTGCAAGCGGAGAGGCACCGCATCTGCTCTTGAGGTAGGATGTACCAAAATGCCTGGCTACTTTGGGAGAGACTTAGAAAAGCAAGCTGCAAAAGTGTGAAACTGTTCTAACATATGGCTGATGCGGTTATTTTTCAAACAAAGTATTACTTGAAAAGTGTGGCAGTGAAATTACTTCAAGGCTGTAACAGCAAAAATCTTGTTTGTTTATGAAGGAAGAGGATGGAAGAAATCTGTGAGCTAAACTATTTGTGGAGATGGGACAGATTTGAAATTCCAAGGCCCAATGGTATGTGAGCAAAGTACAGAGAGAAGCAGGAAAGGTCCTGCCTGGCCCTTGCCAGGATTCGGGAAACTCCTGGTTTCCGTTCACTGAATTCAGATCCTTCCCCGTCCACAGCAGGAGGAAAAGCACATGTCAGGGAAGAGAGCCCCCAGAAGAGACAGGGGCTCCAGGAAACCATTGTTGATTCCTGATGAAAAAGAGGCATCTGGCAGACTAAAGGTAATTCAATACTGTCTCCTTTTACTTATTTTTTAAGTGTAGTGCTTTGTAAGCTTTTTTACATAGAAAATGATAATTTCTGTGATACATTGGGCCAAATGGAAGAGCCTGCAAGAGGCTAAAATACTAGTTAAAATGCTCTGCAATAAAATACTAAAGGTTGCAAAGAATGTACCTACTTGTTTAAAGAAAAGATGGACACTAACCTGGTGGCTTCTCCCCTGGTGTTAGAAACAAACCTCCGCTAAAGCCATCCAGCCAAGCTAGAGCAACTAATATCTGCCAGCATCTGTGCCTCTGAATGCCCTTCTAGGACAGGTTAGGGAAGATCACCCTAGAACTCTAACAAACCTGTTTCCTACTCAACCAGTTCAAATGAAAATTAGACCCTTCTCTTCAGGAAAGGTGGACTTACCTGTTGTACTCAGATAAAGCCTGAGCAATCACAAGCCCCATTCCCTAGGAAGGAAAAAGACAGCACAGGTGAAATAAGGGCCTGGTGGCGATGCTATGATTAGGCCAGGGAAAATACTAAATCATATCCCTATGGTCCAAGCCCACAAAGTTCTACCTGACAGTTGGCAATGAGGACAGAAATTCTGAGAGGCATTGCTAAAGCATCAAAAGGAATTTCTCTGATCTACCTTATTTTTCAGACTACTACATGTACTTTCTCTCACTGTCCCCCCAAATTTGGTGGGGGGGTCGTCTTATAGTCTGAATGTAGCTTACCTGGCTCACTGGGGGGAGGCAGTGGGTCACAGGTTATTAAATATTTTACCATATTTTCTGCTTCAAAATTTTTTCCCCATTTTCCTCCTCTAAAACCTAGGTGCATGTTATTGTCTGGTGCATCTTATAGTCCTAAAAATACAGTAATTCTCTTATTATTACTTAATAGAGTAACAGAGGGTGAAACAGACCAGCCCAGATCACTGACACTTTCACTGGGATCATTTTCACCTCATTAGAGAAGATTGAATTAGAAGCTTCAAACGAACCAACAAAAAAAAACCCTCTCATATGGTATATGTCTCTAAAACCGCCACAATAAAAGTGACAATGAGTCCCATGCTAAATAAAGTTGCGTACAGGCAAGCCACTCTCTTCCAGGCCACAGGAAAACAGAAATGTAATGAGCAGAAGCATCCAATAATGTTAAAGTGACTTATCAACTTTCCCTCTAGAATCAGCTAAGTACAACACAAAGATCAATTAAGGCCACATGATGAATCATGTGCACTTCTACTCATAAGGGAAATTAAAAGCATGAAAAGGGCAAGATGGAAAAAGGGTAACGCCAGACACGTGGTCATCTTCCTCTTCCCTATAATCTAAGATGAGACGTTACTTCCCAAACTTTCAAGGACATATTGTAGCGTGTTTCAGCTTTACCAAGTCAGGCTGTAAATACCATCTGGCTAGTTCTACAAGAAGGACTCTCCCATCATTTAGTCACCTAAGCCTTCTTTTTTTAAATTTCAGCTTTATTGAGATATAAATGACATACAAAATTGTAAGCTATTTACAATTTGATATACCATTGATATACTATTTACAATTTGATATATTATATGCATTGATATACCATACACATGATATACCATGCGTATGGCATACCATATGCATGCTGATTTGATATACCATCGAAGCCTTTTTACTCTTGGAAATGTAATTTATTGAATCTGTAGTAGAATAAACCAGTAGAATAAACCTCAGCACATTACAACATGAAATATAACCAACCATTTCTGCATGATAAGCAAGCAAATGTCCCCTCAAACCTTCCTTCCATGATAACAAAATAAAATACCTTAAGATAGGTGCACCAATGCTCTAAAAAAATGTACCAATAACCTCTTTATAGCCAGGTGAAATTAACACAATAGCTCTGTGCTCTCCAAATAGCCACTCCAAGTCCACTGAATGCAAGTAATTAAAAAAATACAAAGATCCAGATACTCACATTGAGCGTGGCCTCATCATCCACAATAGACAGCTTCACAATATAAGGATTCACAGACTGTTAAAGAGGAGAGGAGACTCAAGGTGAGTGTGACTTACTTAAGAACCCATGAACTATTTACAAAGTGTTAACAAAAAGGCCTGTAACAGGCCCTCTCTTTACAGTGATGCTCCTACTACCCAGGCCCAAACCACCTTGCCAGCTGACTCCCCTCATTTCCAGGAAATCTCTCAGTGTGCATGGGCATTCACCATGCACTCATATGCACACACACACAAATTCTGTTCTACCTCCATTTTCCTCTAGGCTGAAGCAGCTCAGGCCTATGTCTGCACCTTCTCCCATCTTTCCTTCTTATTTGTTTCTAAAAAGTAAATGAACACTCCACAAAACTCACTTTGTCCTATCCTGCAAATAATTTACTGAGTCCATAGGGACAACAGTCTTTCGGGGGACATAAAAGCTTCTCTGCCATAAGGTACAAATTTGTAAGTTGCTAACTTACAGTCTCATCCCAAAGGCTCCCTAACCATTCTACAAACGATATGCAAAGACTGATTCACCCACCCATAAAACAAAGCCACCTGGGGGGTGGAAAGTGGCAGCTGCTTAACAGCCAGAGAGGCCATTTATGGATCTGATACCCAAATAACACTGCAGGGAAACTGATAAAAAGGATGTAATTACCCAAACTACAATCTGGTCAGGACACTGGGATTTAATGATCATCCCATCACTTATAGCATTGGAAGATTTCCTGAGTTTTTCCAGACCCAATCTCGGCTGGGCAGCATATGGAAATGAACATATATTTAAACTCATTAAGCAGTTGGGCCATCTCCTACTGGTGAGATGAGAACCAATGACCTGCTCACCTTAAAAACATCCCACCCATGGGATGTGAAAAAAGACCTCATGGAGATCAGGCACCAATTCTAACCCAAGGCAAGCAAGGAACAATAGTTCTCAGATTGGCAGTTTTTACAGCAACCAAGAAAACTCATTATAGAGAAACTTGGAAACCCAACTAAAAGGCTAACCCCCCACATAGAACTTATTTAATCAAGTTTCTGAGGGCATCTTTTGGATGTCAATTGGGAATAGAGAAAGAGACGGCTTTGCTTTTTTAACAGCTCAAATGTTTATAAGGTTTTCTACGACACAATTCAAGGAGTAAAACCCACTCAATCTGTTACCTGATCTAACAAAAGAAAGCTCCCAACACTTCTTCCCATAACCAACCATCAAATCCTGCTGGTGTTACAGATTTCAGATAAGATCCAATGCAAGTGGATGCTTGGAAAAGAAAATCAGCAATTGGCTGACCAAGAGATGCCACCATGATGAGAACAACACTAGAAGGAAATGGCGACTGTTTCTTGGCATAATTTCTGAAAGTCCTAGCCACTCACCTTTCCAAAGTACACTGTTTTAGGTAATAATAAGGGTCACCTGATTACCAAGAACAGTCTGTGATTTTAGCAGCAGTTGGAGGAAAGGCAAGATGGATAAAAGCAAGGGTGTGCGTTCTAGCTCCTCTAGTTACTAATCGTGACATGTTAGGCATACTACTTAAGTTCAATTTCCTCATCTGTAAAATGGGGATATTTTCTTCCTTGGGGTTGCTTTGAGACTTAAATGAAGACATGTAAAATCCTTAGCACAGTATCTAGCATATGGTGAAGGCTCAATAGTTGGTAACTATATTCTTTTCTCCTTTGACATTTTTATCACATTCATAGGAAGTGCTTTGGGAAGGAAAAAAAGAGAAAGAAAGAAAAAGGAACAACTTGCAACTGGACATAATAAACAATTTTGTAATTTCTGGCAGACATCATGTTCAAATGGGCAGCAGTTGGGGAGTGAGTCACTTCATCTCAGGAGACGGGGCCGATGTAGAAGGCCAGGATATTAACACTGTGAAAATTGCTATTCTCCAGACACCTATTCTCCTTAGCACTATATACACGTTGTGCTGGTCCCGTTTTTAAACTGGAGGCAATCTACTTTCCAGCCACAAAACAGAATTACAAACTCAGTGAGCTGTCATGGAGTCATTCTAATAGGGTACTGCCTTTATTTGATCTAAATCATTCTGCACTTACCATTTTTCATTGCACTTCCTTAGGCTTTTTTTTTTCTGCCTCCTCTATCTCTTTCAATAAAATGTCTAAAATGGATTATTTGAGGCAAGGAAGAATTATTTTTTTATATTTACTCCATGGCATGTTTTCCATCACTTCCTTTCCTTAAGTCCAACACCTTATTTGCCTTCCCTGTGTTTAGCTGGGCACCCAGGTACCCTCCGCACCTTTCCAGAAAGGTTACAACCTACTGCGCTGGTCATGAGATTGATTATGGTGTAGCTGGAATGCTGCTCTCCAGAGCACACACCCTCTCACACTAGTTTGCATAAAATTTCACCAGCTTTTGGGTTTTGCTGTGTTCATCTGGAATTCCTCACGTTCCTGTCAAAAAAAAAAAACCTTCCTCCTCCATGGCCACCAGGCTTCCATAATGGTTCCTGGTGAGTGACTTAAATCAAGACCTGCAAAGCCCAGATAAATCATGCCCACCAGCTTGACCTCACCAAGTACATGAATTCTTCTGGGGCTTCTGACAGACTACAGATGCATACCTCACTCCAGAAATACAGTGTTCTCCAGTTCCTTCGCCATGTCCAATTTTTCAGGCTGACATTTCAGAGAGCCCTACTGAGCTGGGCCAGGTTTCACACTTAGAGAAGCCAAACCACTGCCTCAGAGTGGCCTGCATCCAGCAGAATGTCCTAAAAATATTCACTACGGATGATGGCGTTTTCCTATCACATATAACTCAGCTCTCTCTAACCCTCTTTAGCATTTTTCCTCCGCTATTTTTCTCATTGTTGTAATAAGGCCCCAGAGGCTACGACACATGTCAGAGATCAAAATGGCTACCACGCCAACCCCTCCAGATCACCAGTAAAACAGGTGAGGGTGATAAATTACGTATTTATCAGTCGCTGTAAACACCATCCATCAGTTCCTCTTAGACAATGAGAGCCATCAGCTCCTGGGATTTATAACACATTAACAATGCTCTGTATATTCTAGTCCCTCTATAAGTATTCCTTTCTTACAGCCTCCCCTTCTTCCATATCCCTCTGTATAAGAATACGCTCCAGATTTTGTTACTCATCACTTTCGACCTAGCTAGGAAGTACATCTAACATCACTAAGTAAAGATCCAGAAGTTCCAAAATGACAATCATCCCTCAGGCTGGCCCATTTCTCACAGCACTGCTACTTATTTAAGTGAAGAAAGTCAGGTGGCCTTGCAGCAGCTCCTGACTTCTGCGTTTAGTGAAGTCCCACTAGCTCCTGGTTATTCTGAAGCTATCTCCAGGGAGGCCCCTGGTCTTCCTTCAGTGGCTGCCTTCCCTTTCTGTGTGTTCTGCCTTTTGAGAGAAATCAAGTAAACACACCCATCCAAGTAGAAATCTCTCTGAGTTCTGCTCTTCCTCTCAAACACCTATACATCTGTCCCCAGTTAATTCAAGGGCAAAAAGAACTCCAGAATTAACATGAACAGGACCCTGCCTTCAATTGCAATTAAAATCAGGAAGAGTTCCCAGACCAACAGTGACATTTATATAAGTGGATTGCATTAAGGAAACCCAACATATAAAAGTCCAATCTTTCAAAACATGCATTAGGTCAGTGGTTCCCAATCCTGGCAAATCATCACATTCAACAGAGAATCCTTAAACACACACATACAAATTCCCAGGTCCTACCCCCAAGAGATTCTGATTCAGGGTGTTGAGAGTAAAGCCCAAAAATTTATTCTTTTTAAGAAGTCCCTAGATAATTCAAATAATAAGCTGGGTCTAGGAACCACCATATTAAAGGATATTTACTGACTTTATTAGAGGTTGTACTAAGTATTCCTTTAAACAGCTATATCATCTGCCCCATGCATTCAACATAGGATTTTTAGAATTTGGTTTATCAAAATAAACCCACATCATACCATTTACCAAAAGTATGTCTTCCACATCAAGCAAAGACCTCTAGAAGTAGCCACATGTAGGAAGATTATAGAAAGATAACTATCAACTAAGGGGCCCACATACCTCGTATTTCCTGTAGTTCACCAGCAATGCCAAGAGGACTACAGCATCATACCCATGCTCCCTACGGCTTGGGGGGTGGGAGAGTATCTGTAATAAGAACCAGAAATGTGTGAGAGTGCTAACTCCTAGTTCCTAGGAATGTAGAGAAGATTTAAGGAGGCAGTTTTCCCGAAAGAGAAAGAGGTAACAAGGGAAATGACCAACCTGTAAAATTGCTTCGAATATGCTGTTGATCATTACATACTCCAGGATAGTGTTCTGGCTGATGTTATCTGTCACCTGAATGCAATAGAAGGCTTTTTAAAGTCTACACTGAGATACTATGATATCACATATATCTCTCCTACCCTGCAATCTAAGAGAAACAAAAATTTTAAAGCATTCTGCTAGATACCTACTAGACCTTTCATAATCTCCCAAAGCCACCAGAGCTAAACAGATGCTAGACTAAAACAGACTCTAGACAGGTAGGAAATTAGCAAGTTAAATCTCCCTAAAATTTTGAACTTCTCACTGTTTCTCTCATACCCTCACACAAGCATTTGCTTAACAGCTTCTTGGGTTTCAATCCTCAACTGCACAGAAAGAAGTTTATGATCCAAGCCCTGGCTGGTGTAGCTCAGTGGATTGAGCACAGGCCTGTGAACCAGAGTACGCGGTTCGATTCCCAGTCAGGGCACATGCCTGGGTTGCAGGCCAGTTCCCAGCAGGGGATGCATGAGAGGCAACCATACATTGATATTTCTCTCCCTCTCTCCTTCCCTTCCCCTCTAAAGATAAATAAATAAAATCTTTAAGAAGAAGTTTATGATCCAGAAGTCTTTGAGTGGTGGCAGCAGAAGGGAACCACCTAAAATAAGTGAACAATACTTCACACCCCCCCCAACTAACAGGTACAGGCCAGCTTCATGCTATAAAATCTCAGTTAGAACAAATAAAAACATGCAGAATCACAAAGACTGTTTCCAAATGAGACCTGATGAGAAGGGAACTCTGATAATCCAAAAAAGTAGTTTTCCAGGGGTGGTACCTCCAAAGAAACAAATACCACACAGCCTGCATATGAAAAAGCCAGCAGTCGCTCCAGAGAGCAACTTCTAGGAAACGAAAACCCATGCAACTAACTTCCTCCTACACATCTGAATACAACAGAGTGATATAATGCCGCAGTAGCTAATCTGTTTTTCTCTTTTCCTTTCTAGCTTTGGGTTTAAGTATTCAAATAAGCTGGCCCCTGCCATCAATTAACACCCCTGACAAAGAAACACATAGATGAGTTACTTACAGTCACTAAACAAAGGAGAAGTTTCAGACATAAACTCTTCAGACTTTCAGAACCTTCTGCACAAAGCAATGAGTCCAAACTCTCCATCAAGTTCTGAGAAAGAAAATAGTTAAAAATGAAACCATATCAAACAATACCTGCACTGCATCTTTGCCCAGGTCTGGGTTTTGTGACGCAGGGTGATGTGAGTAGCACACAACGAAGCGAGCACATCACTCCCCGAGGCTCAGGCCTTACAAAGTTAGACGAAGAACAGGAAGACTTCTCAGTCTAACTAGTTCAGGGAAACTGCTCTGGAGCGACGGCACAGAACAACAGAATTCACTATTCCACCAAATGAATGTTTGTAGCCTGCCATCCTCATCTAAACCTTTCCATGAGGATGGCATTTTTAACAGGTCAATAATAATGGTTAAATTAAACAATAAGTGTATAAACTAAAAACAATAAATAAGCTAATAAACTTAAATTTAACAATTTAAAAAAATAAATAATTAAATTCAAGGTTAGTAATAACAGTTCAGTAACTAGATACAGTTCATTTTTGATCAAGAAAACATCACCTGAGGCAGGCACACTGAACAAATAATGAGACACTGCAACCTCCAGCTCTGACCCGCCACATGGCACACTGTGCGACAAAACTAGCTTGTGTCCGTCCTGGTCAATTCTACTGGACAATGTGACTGGGCTTTATCACTTGCACTAACAAACCAGCTGTGAGACCCAATGTAATCAAAAGATAAAACCCTTAGATATTACAATAGAAGTAAGAAGAAAAGAAATGTTTTACATTAAATGAAGGAAGAAAATGGAGAGCAGGGATTTAGCAGGCTGAAAGGTCAAGTGAAGGTTCAAAATAAGCTACTTCAGTTCAATTCCACAAATATGGGCTGAGGGTCTACTATATGCTACATATTGTGCTTTCAAAAATACAAGAAAAAATAAGCCCTGACTGGTGTAGCTCAGGGGATTGAGCGTGAGCCTGCGAACCAAAGGATCGAGGTTCAGTTCCCAGTCAGGGCGTGTGCCTGGGTTGTGGGCGAGTTCCCAGTCGGGGACTAAAGAGAGGCAACCATATATTGATGTTTCTCTCCCTCTCTCCTTCCCTTCCCCTCTAAAGATAAATAAATAAAATCTTTTAAAAAATGCAAGAAAAAATAAGACAATGACTCTTGCTCTCAAGGTGTTTTTAGTATAATGGGAGAGGAAAAAAAAGAAAATAGTTTTGATATAATGGTTACTATGACAGAAATATAAACAGAGGAAGAGAATTAGCTCAAATGTCACCTATTGTAGTACTCCTAAAGGGTGTATTGCATTTTGAAAAATAAGTAGAAGTTAATTAAAACTTGAGAAGAAAAGGAATTCTAGGCAGGCTTAGCATGATCAAAGACACATGAAGAATAGAAGAGCTCTGGGTACGAAGTTGGGATGCACAGTTTGTTATTGTGGAAGCCTTGTATAATGAGTGAGGCACAGTGGTAAGAGATGAGACTAGAGAAGTAACTACAGAGCAGGTCATGAAAGTTTTATAAGGCTAACTAGGGAGTTTGGTCTTTATCCTGTTAGTGATAGGAAACTAATGATGGGTTTTAAGCAGGAGAGATTTGAGTGTAAGATACAAACTCTCTGGTGTCAGTGTGGATGACAGATTTAAAGATGGTAAGCCTGGAGGAATGGAGACAAATGAGGACTAATCCATCAGTTTCCTGAAAACAGTTGCCATGTCTTATTTGCCTCTGTATCCCCAGTGCCTGGCACGCAGGACACTAACTAAGGTTTGTCAAAAGAATGAATGAAGACATCACTGTGGTAGTTCAAGTGAGATATAATGGGAACAGTGGCAGCAGGGGAAGAAAAGGTATGAGAAATATAAGCTGAGATAAAATTAGCTGAAGCTGGTGATCATCTGGATATGAAAAATGAGGGAAAGAGAGTTGAGGATGACTCCCAGGTTTTCGGCATTAGGGACTGAGAAGATGGGGGCCCCCCCCCCATTCTAATAGGGAATGAATGAGGAAGAATAGATGCTGAGAAAACAGTAAGTTTCATTCTGAATATCAAGCAAGAGATAATTAGGGATGTTTGAGGGGGTATATTCAGCAAGTGCTTACAGAGTACATATACAACTCTGAGACTCATGAGGGAGATGTTAAAGATAAAGTTAGAGACTTTAAAAAAAGATTTATTTATTTATTTTTAGAGCAAGGGTAATGGAGAGAGAAAAAGAAGAAGAGGAAACAATCAACATGAGAGAAAAACATCAATTGGTTGCATCTCACACACCCCCAACCGAGGACCTGGCCCTCAACCCAGGCATGTGCCCTGACCGAGAACCAAACTGGCAGTAACTTTCTGCTTTGCAGGACAACTCTCAACCGACTGAGCCACGCCAGTCAGGGCTGTAAAATACTTTTGTTCTTTTACTACAATCTAGGGAACTGTGTCAAAGAGTCCTTCCCAGGCCTCGGCCAGCAGGCAGAAGTCTCTCGTCCTCCTCTCATAACAGCCTCTGTGAATGTTCAGATCTGCTTTTCAATTAAAGACACAGTGACATGGTAGATGTCACAAGAAAGGTCGAACCAGTGGCCTTTTGGTTTGCGGGAAGATGCCCAACCCACTGAGCCACACCAGTCAGGGCTAAAGTTAGAGACATAATCAGCAGCACATCAGTACTTAGAATGATGAAAATGAATGAGAAATATGAGATTTTCCCATGATATATACATAAACTGTAAGGGCTTAAATTTAAAAAATGATTCCAAGTACTAAATCTTTGTGTATTCATAATTGTCTGTTCATAACTTTTAAAAATAACCCAATCACTATATGTATTCTTTGGCACAAAGATTTTTTTATTTTGAAATCTTTTCTTTAAGATTTTACTTCTTTATGTTAGAGAGAGGGAAAGGGAGGGAGAAAGAGAAAGAGAAACATCGATGTGTGGTTGCCTCTCACACACCCACCACTGGAGAACTGACCTGGCCTGCAACCCAGGCACGTGCCCTGACCGGGAATCCAACCCACAACTCTTGGTTCAAAGGCCAGTGCTCAATCACCACACCAGCCAGGGCAGATTTTTTATTTTATTTTTTAACATTTTACTTATTTTTAGAGAGAGGGGAAGGGAAGGAGACAGAATGGGAGAAAAACATGTCACATGCCCCCAACTGGGGACCCAGCCTGCAACCCAAGCATGTGCCATGACTAGGAATCGAACCAGTGACCTTCCAGTTTGCAGGCCAGGGCTCAATCCACTGAGCCATACCAGCCAGGGCAGATTTTTTTGAATATTTTATTTATTAATTTTCAGAGAGAGGGGAAGGGAAGGAGAGAGGGAGAGAAATATCAATGTGTGGTTACCTCTCATGTGTCCCCCACTGGGAACTGGCCTGCAACCTAGGCATTTGCCCTGACTGGGAATCAAACCGCGATCCTTTGCTTCATAGGCCTGTGCTCAATCCACTGAGCTACACCAGCCAGGGCAGATTTTTTATTTTAAATTTAGTGATGGACAGAAGACTAGTTCCTCAAAGTTCACCTTATGAACAATATGCATTCAAGATAGTGTCAAGATAAAGCAAATCTGCCCTGACTGGTGTGCCTCGATGTCATTCCACAAAGCAAAAGGTTACCAGTTCGATTCCTGGTCAGGGCACATGCCTAGATTATGGGCCAGGTCCCCAGTTGGGGGGTTGGGGGGAGTCAGCTGATAGATGCCTCTCTCACAGATTGATGTTCCCTCCCTCTCTTTCTCCCTCCCTTACCCTATATCTAAAAAATAAATAAATAAAATCTTTAAAATAATAAACAAAAAAACCCACTGCAAATATGATGCCTGGTAAGGGACTTATATCCAAACTATATAAAGAATTCTCACAACTCAACAACAATCAAAAAAAGAAAGTAACTCAACCTAGAAATTGGCAAAGGGTTTAAATAGCCTTTTCTCAAAACAAAGAAAAATATATACATATACGTACACACACACAAAGACAAAAACCAGCATGGGGGAGGATGTGGAGAAACTGGCCCCTCACACACTGTGGTGAAACTGTAAACTGGAACTGCAGCTTTGGAAAACAGTGTGGGAGTTCCTCAAAATGTTAAACGTAAGGGTACCACATGACCCAGCAATCCTATTCCTACATATATACTGAGGAGAACCGAAAACATATGTCCACACAAAAACTTATACACGACTGTTCATAGCAACATTATTCGTGAGTCAAAATGTTGAAACAGCCCAAATGTGCATCAACTGAAGAATGACTAAATAAAATGATGCAGTGTACTCATACAATGGAATACTAATCAACCATAAAGAATGAAGCACTGATTACATGCTACAACATGGGTGTACCTAGAAAACATGCTAAACGAAAGAAGCTAGAAACAAAGCACCATGTATGATCCCATTGATAAGAGAGTCCCAAACAGGGACACCCTTAGAGACACATCTGACTGAGAGCTGCCAGGCGCTAGAGAGAAGGCAGGATGGGGAAGGCTGGCTAATGGGTCCACGTTTCCTTTCAGGGGTGATGCTTTGAAATTAAAAGTGGTGATGGTTGTACAACTTCATGAATATATGAAAAAAGCACTAAATTATACATACCTTCAAAAGGGGGAATTATATATGTGAATTATTCATCAACAAAGCTGTTATTTTTTAAAAGTGTTAAACGGTAGAAATGAAAATTCTGAGAGACTTTGTGTTAAATAAGAACGCTTAAAGTTTAGAACTAAGGTTACCCTTGTATATTAATTTGTTATGTTTTATTTAAGTTCATAAATGTTTTTAAGACTGTATGATCATATGCTATAAACCATAAAATAAACTGCTCAGTCTTTATCCTGCCGAAAAAGGATGCCTCAACTCAAATTTGAATTTCAAATTTTCCTTTACTCAGAGAAACCAAATCTGTAAAATAAAAACATCCAAATTCAAAGCCAAATTCAATCTTCTATATCTCTTTGAGTCCAAATCTTCTAGTCCATCTAACTGTCTGCAGATGGTGCCCACACACATCTGTCAGCAGTGGCTGCACACAGGTACAGCTGCCACTCGCGCCTCACCTTCATGCACAGCTCCGCCTTGTCAAAGCCCATCAGCATGTTGATAATGTCAAACCCAGAGGTAGACTTATTCTTTTGATGTACTCCTCGGATGAGCGCGCACAAGGTCTGCAGAGACAAGAGAAGGGATTCTTCCTAGAGGAAGTCTCAAACCGAAGGGCACTGATCTGTAGCCTCACACTGCAACCTCACAACCTCCTCCAGGCACAGCTGAAATTCAAGTGCTCTAATGCTTGGGCTTCCAAAACTCGGTCAGAGTCTCAACATGTGCAAAATCCAGACATCGAAAGAGGAATAGCAACTAAAACTGCTGTCACCCTCTTTTTAAAACTGCACTGCAGACAAAGACAGGAAGGTGACATTCAAAAATAAAAAACAGTTCTTGAGTTTGTGTCATAGGATTGATGAAACTTTCCTTTATTTAAAATTAATTTTAGTATTTACATTATAGTTTATCATTTTATATATTTAATAACTACAAGTTATTTAAGTTCCTTTATGACAACAACCAATTGCTTCAAATCTTAAGTTCATTACACTCCACTACTCACCAGCTGTGCCTGGACAAATTAACTTTTCAGTGCCTCAGTTTTCTCACCTATCTCATCTCATTGGGATGTTGTGAGGACTAGGTGAATTAATACCATACAGGACTAAGAACAGTCCCTGGAACTCTGTTAAAGCCCCAATAATAGTACCTGGAACTTTGTTAATAACGTACTATATTTTTATTGGTTACCAGGCGCCTTAATGTCAATTTATTTCCACTGAACTGAAAATAGTTTACAACTCATGCCCCCACAGTGAGCCACTACGATTATAGGAAGTACAATTTCCAACTTTCATTTCAACTTTCAGTGAGCCCCCACAACTGTGATGCTCACAATGTGGAATTTACTGCACCAAAAGTTAATAAAGCCACAGGATAAATATAGTCCCTCTTTCTGGGGCATCAGCTCAAGAGGTAATTTCTACATTCTAGAGATGAGAAAACTGGAGCTCACAAAGTGATCTAACTAGTAAGTTAGAAATTTAAACCCCATCAACCAAAACTTCCAACAAAATCCTTTTTGCTGTCTATCACTGCCCTAAGTCTGTCAATCACTGACGTAGGTGCTCAGTGCTGGATTGGCTACCCTTGGAGCTACTAGTCAATGAACTTTAGAAACTCTGCCCATCATTCGTTCAGTAAAAATTTACTTCTAGACTCTATTTGTCAGGCACTGTTCTGCACACAAAGAACAAAGTACTGAATAAAACTATCAAAGTCTTTGTCCTCAGAAGCCTACAACAAGAGCTCAGTGGTTGGCACATAACAGTCAACCAAGAAATTATCACGCAATGAATCTTCCTGAGGATCATGCCACTTAGCATTAACAATAATGATTCTTAACGTTTTCAGAGTTATAGACCATTTCAAGAATCTGATGAAAGCCCTCTCTCCAGAAAGATTATACATGTACACATAAAGTATTACACATAATGTCAGGGAGTTAAGAACCCTCTGAACCCTCAGATTATGAACTCCTGAACTAGTAAGAACATTTTATATTAAGAATCTCCTCTGATTTTTGTTGTAGACTAAGCAAACTTGCCTCAGTTTCCTCCCTATCTCTTCCTTCCTCAAGTAATAATAAGAATTCTGTCAAACAATCTGCCTTGGCACTAGGTCAGATTATACAAATGGACAAGATTACTACTTTAAGAAATTTGTTTAACCAGGAATATGACTAGGCAAACATGCATAGATGTTTGATTACTTAAAGAAGTAAGAAAAAAAAACCCTCACACCTAAGGGCAATTCTAGGTTCCTCAGATCCCAACAGATGTGCTATAATTCCTTTCTTCTATCAAACAAGACTTCCCAGTTTCCCAGCCTTGTACCTGCAATGCATTGACAACTCGAATTGGATGCTCCTCTCCCAGGGCCTGAATGCAGTGCTGAAATAAGCAATTAATGTTGTCCTTGATCTTCATTAACTCCTCACCATCAAGAGATTCCAGCTTGCCTTCTAGGTACTCTAAATTCACCTACGAAGGAAACAATAAGGGCCTGAGTTCACTTTTAGTATAGCTCCTAGAACTCATGAGAAGGCAATCTCCATTACCAGGAAAATCCACAGATGCCACCAAATCTTACCTTCATGAGGAAGAGCTCCTCCCAAAATCGAGGGCTGCACTTACTGGGGTCCTCTGTCTGAAATCAGAAGATGAGATGGGTTCAATCACCAAATTATTAAGAATACATTTGAAAGGGTCACTATACATAATCAACCTTTCAAAATTAACTTTTAGCTTGGTCATTATAAACTACTATAACAGGAAACAATAGTAATTTGGGATTTTTTTCCTCCAAATGGAAGGCACTTTATATATATACATATATATCTACCTATGTATGTATATACGCATATTCCCTGAACCAAATGTTATTGTGGCTCAAAGAATCTCCCTCAAATCTTTCTCTTCTAGCAAGAAGTGAACCTAATCATCTGGGTAAGTCAGTCAAGTCATGATAAGTCCACACTGCATTTGTATGACGCTCAATTTTCAAAGCCAAGTCACATACATGAAATACAATGATCCAGCGAGCTGAGTGTGGTAGATATAACCATTATCCTCCTTTGAGGAAAGAGGGTCCACGAAGTTAAGTGACTTACACAACAAGTACAGGAGCCAGACCCAAATCATCTCAGTAATATCATGATGGCTTTACAACATCCTGTGTTGACTGCTTCTACCTGCCCTCACATACATATTTAGTCCCCTGTACAGAGTTTTTAATATGCTCTTTCCTCAGTTAAATTGGTCCAAAAAGTTAGCAAAATTATTGCACTAAAATCCAAAATTTCTTAACAATAATTTTCTTTTTTCTTTAAGATTTTATTTATTTATCTTCAGAGGGGAAGTGAAGGAGAGAGGGAGAGAATATCAATGTATGGTTGCCTCTCGTGGGTCTCCTGCTGGGAACTGGCCTGCAACCCAGGCATGTGCCCTGATTGAGAATCAAATCGCGATCCTCTGGTTCGCAGGCCCACACTCAATCCACTGAGCTACACCAGCCAGGGTCTTAACAATAATTTTCAAACAGAAATTCTAGAAAGTCAAAAGCTTCTGGTTAATGAATGAAATAAGAAAAAGATAATCCCCCGACCCTCACTTTACAGGCAAAGTAACGACAAAAATCAGTTGGTCAATTGTCTGCTATAATCTTAATTTAAGTTGACCTTTTAAAATTACTACCAAGAACTAATGTTTTCATTAGTTAAGAACTACTGTTCTAGTAAGAAAATATTATACTAGGAATCTCTTCTAAATTTTTAAGAGCATGACACAGAGAAGTAACATTTCTGGCCTTCTCGAAAGGTCCTCATTTAGCATCTTTCTCTCAAGTCCTACTTCCCAGGAGAGGTCACACTTTGACCCTCACACTTCTGTAATATCATTTTGTTGTCTATGTATGAAACTCAGGGGCCACATGGGAAGGGGGTGTGGGATTATGGTTAAAGAGGTGGGAGGATTAAGAAGTACAAATAGGTAGTTACAGAGTAACCATGGCCTAGTACAGTATAGGAAATGGAGTGGCCAAAGAACTGATATGCATGACCCATGGACATGAACAATGATGGGGACAACTGTAATAGCATAATCAATAAAATATAATTTAAAAAAATAATTTTAAGCCCCGGCTGGTGTGCTCAGTGGATTGAGCGCAGGTCTGCAAGCCGAAGGGTTGCCAGTTCGATTCCCAGTCAGGGCACATGCCTGGGTTGCAGGCCAGGTCCCCAGTATGGAGTGTGCTGGAGGCAACAACACATTGGTATTTCTCTCCCTCTCTTTCTCCCTCCCTTCCCCATCTCTCTAAAATAAATAAATAAAATCTTTAAAAAAAAATAATAATTTTTTTTCAAATGGAACTTGAGGAGCCAACAGAGCCGGCACTCCCCATTCTCAAAGCTCACTCAAGCAGGAATCATATGTATACCAAGCTAACTTCACATAGAAAGAGTCCTAATAGGAGCCTAGTATCTGGTCATTTTCTCTGTATAACCAGCTATACGAACCTGGGCAATTCTGTATTAATTTTTTGCATATCAAAGTCTGTCTTTAAGGCTTTGCCAAGAGTTAGATGTTTCATTTGACTGAATTATTTATCCTGGGCCATACTGCACAGCTGAACAAGGACTCTGGAGTCAGACCCTAGGGTACAAATCACCTTCTAGTTGTGCTCTCGTTTTCTGATTCATAACATGCCCTTTTACAAGGCACAAGTAAAAAACATGGCCCCCTTGCACCATTCTGATCAGAATTAAAGTTAATGTATTTAGTGGTACATTTGGAGTAATGCCAGGCATATGGTAGAAATTCAATGTACATTAACTCTTTTTATAGGTATTATTCTGTATCACATGTACTACCTATGACCAAAAGGCAAGTAAATACCTCTGCAAGGTACCTAATTACTCTGACCTCTCCTGACAGGGTACATTTCACAGCACAGGCTCAGACCATGACCAATGAATAATAATGAAGATCCCAAGAAATCTAACTGCTAATATTCCTCAGTTAACTCATATAGAGAATGAGGTAGTCTAACTAAGCAACTGTTCTGTCCACTAACAGCTTGAGACAGAATGTAACAGAGCATCTTTTTAAAATATCTGATGTGTAGAATTCTAGGTCCAAAAGGAACTTCAAGAGACATCTAGGATAGAGGGGTCCTTAAGTCAGAGAATAAGGAAGACAAGTCTTAAAGATATTCAGAAAAGAAGCTTCCCCAGCCTTCCTTCCTCCTTTCAATTGTTTTACCCAGCTCATGGCAACAATCTATATCAATTAATACAAAACCATAAGTTCTATTAGGAGAGAGTTTCACCCTCTGAAGACCTGGGAGGTAGCAGGCAGAGGTGAGTTATCTTTCATTTTGGAACAAAAAACTAAGGAGTCAAGCCATGCAGAACACTGGGGCTTCAGGTCTTACCATGAAGATCTCGTCATACATCAGCACCACTTTTTCCTTCAGTGGTTTTTTGGAGGCTGAAGACTTTCGGAGCAAACCTCCCCGTTTCTCTACCTGTGCCATGGTTAGAGGATCTGGGAAAAGAAAACCACAGTCAGTGCTAGAAATACTCTCCAAGATTCTGGAGACTTTACTGAAATACCTCTTGGGAAATTTTTTAGGAAGAAATTACACACAACCATGCTATAGATCTTGTGTATCTGTCCAACACCCTCTCCCCTGACAAGGCAATTTTAAGGTTTAAGTCATTGCTTGTCCTACAGCATAACACATTTTACATCCTTAAAGCACGCCGGTAGCCCTGGCTGGTGTGGCTCACACCAGCATCATCGATTGGAGCATTATCCCGTAAACCAAAATGTCACAGGTTCGATAACCGGTCAGGGCACATGCCTAGGTTGTGGGTTTGGACCCCAGTCAGGGTGCATACAAGAGGCAATTGATCAATGTTTCTCTCTCTCCCTCCCTTCCCCTCTTTCTAAAATCAATAAGCATGTTCTCAGGTGAGGATTAAAAAAAAAAACATGCCCAGGAATATGGCTTAAGGCAGATCCAAAACCAAACAGGAAAGTGTAACTAGCTCCATCTGTAATAGGTCTAGCCATATATTTGAGGTTGATGAAAGTCAGGCTGCAAAGCACACAGTGCCCCAGACTAATGGTGAAGTTAAATTTCAAGTATTGATCAAGCTTAGGACCATTAAGACAGGAAGTGTGCTGCAGACTGATGTGCTCCATTGATTTCCCCAAAGTGAGTAGGTTCTCATCACTGCAAAGCACTTGGCCTTCACTGCCTCATAAATCACAATGCACTTTACTGTCTTCAGAAATTCCTCTGGAAAGAGACCCAAGGCAAAAAATAGCAGTTAAAGGCCAACAATTAAACTTGATTTCAAAATAACCGAATATGACAATATGCTCCTTTTAAATTTAATTATATATATGCATATGTGTGTATATATATATGCAATACTACTGCAGATCAAACTTCAATGTATTCTTCAATTTTATATAAAAGCAGTTCCATGAATCGTGCTCAAATTTCCCCATCTTGCTTCAAGGATTTCCCAATTTTTTAAGTGAGAACTTGAAATCTTAGGTCTCCACTGTAGGTTTACACATATTCCCTCACTTCCCAGATTCTTCCTACCTGGAAGAAACCAAATTCCTGTCTGTCTCTTAAATTCTAGGCTTGTGAAACTTAATTTTAAACAATGGCAAATAGGGGGCTAGCAAGGAGCTTGGTTTTTATTTCCAGAGGAACCCAAAGCAGCAGAACAAAATTAATTTTGTCCACTGACTTTTGGAAAATATGCACTTTCAAATCAAAATAAAATTTTTGTTTAAGGAACAGATGCATCAACTAGCATAAAAGATTTTCATCTCAGATATTGTCTTTCTCTAATATATACAGGCAAAAAGAAGATTCACCTTTGAATACAAAAAAGCACAAAGCACAGAAAATTTCCCCAGCTAAACATCAGGCATCTTTACCAAAGGGAATACATCTTACCCTTCTTCTGTAAGCCCACTGCTCATGATAAATACACAGTGTATGCTCGCCACTGACTGATTCTGAAAGAGGAAGAGGCCTGAAAAGTACTAGATCTGACTTAAAATTTTAGTAAGACCTCTTTATTGAGGCCTCAGTAAGGCCTCAAATCCCATTATGGTCCAGAAAAAATTGAAGGGAAAATAACAACAGCAACAAAGAGAAGATTCTGTGGGCAATTTATGCCATATTGATCATGGTTTTGCCTTAAAACATGAAATACAGCCTCTGTTCAAAACATTCCTGTGTCTTTTAAATAGGTTGTCAAGAGGAAGATGTCCTTATAGGGGAGAAAACAAGTTGGAAATCAAGAGGATCCTATTAAACTAAATCAAAAGCAATGCAATTCTAAGCTTAGTGGGTCCAGTCTTTCATGTACTCGGCATCAGCCGGTTGATTAGCAGGAATAGCAGGAACCATAAGTTCCTGGATGTGAAAAGCACGTGTTTACAAACATCCTCCTCTCAGGATTTATAATTGGTTACAGCTAATCAATGTCTACCCCAAATCTAATAAACTCACTTTCTCTATTTCAGAATCAATACTTCCTAATAAGCAAAAGGGAGTAGGAGAGAAAAACAATTCCAATCCAAAGTACCAAATTTCCTAAGAAATTAAATTCTTCCCATCATTCTACTTCCACTTGGAGCAGGGGGAAAATTCAACCAAGGGCCTCAACTCATTACTCTCTGTCATCATCACAGGCACCTGAAATTTACCACCCACACTGTCGAAACCGACAACAGAAAGTCTCCTCCTCCTCCAACACTTCTATCCATGAGACACAGCAAAGGATGGTATGTCTAGGGTAGTTGGCTGAGAGAAATGGAGAAATCTTACAGAAGGGTTTTTGGGGGGGAGAAGGGAGGTCTCAGAAATTAAGCCTGTGCTCCTAAATTTGAAAGTAAAATATGTGACTGGTAGAGCAGCACATCAGTATGTGAGTGCAACCTGTTTACATCCTCATAGCGCTTTTTTCCTATTTTACGACCCTCCTGTTGTACAGAGAGAATCAGTATCAGCTAGGGAGCAGCAAGGCAGAAAGAAGCAACCAACCAACAGAACCGAGACTAGAACACAGGTTTCCCAACCAAGTAGATAGCAGAGTAGGTCTTTACTTCTCAGTTTCCTTACAAGTAAAACAAGGGGACTGGACCAGACATATCATCTAATGATTCTCTCAGCATCCACAAAATCCCATGAACACATAGGGAGTACCTATAATTAGTTTCGGCACCACAGGGTTAATTACAAAGAGGAAACTCCAGACCTGATCCTCTGGGAGCTCACTATCTGTTGGCAGACACAGACACATAATAACGCACAGCACAAGGCAAATCATGAGAAATAAAGAGAGTAAAAGTACAAAAAAAATGCTATAGGACCACGAGGAAGGGAAAGAAGCATTCTATGACTATGACCACTGTTGACTCAGGCTTTTAAATCCTTGTGGTGAAGAAGAAAATACAGCAAAGCCACAGTAATCCCACAGAAATGTCATCTTAGGCTTAATACAGTTTCTCAGAAATCAGACATACTAGGCAAAGTATAAAAGAGAATCAGACAACTTTTCGATACTAACTTCATTTACCACCAAATTTAGGAATGGCTCCAATTCCCCCAAACTCAACAGAAAGTCAATGAAGTCTTTTATTCCTCAACCTCAGGAACTGCTGGCCCCATGATATGCAGTACAATTCTCTGAAAGATCCAAGTCATACTGCTTCTTAAGAACTGTATCTTAAAACAATCGAGCCGCATACTTAAATGCACATCTCTTCACATCCCCTACAGGGTAAAAAAGTAAATAATAAGATTTTAAAACCTAAAGCCAACACTTTGAATGTCTAATATGTAAGGAATGTTAGTTACACTTACTTTATCATCTTCACGAGTATAATACATGGCAACTCTAGTATCAAAAATTAATTTAATAGAAATTCATTCTAATTCCGAGAGAGTTGCCATAGTTAATCTACCAAAAGTTTTGGGTTTTAGTCCCCATTCTTATACTCATTCTACAACCTTAAGTTTCCTTTCCCTCCCTGGGCTTCAATTTGCCAACAATGTAAAAAGAAGCCATGGCAAGAAAGTGCAGAAAAGCAAATCCTTGTGTATGTTTAGTAGGAGGGTAAATTGGTACAGTCACTACAGAAACAGCATGGAGGTTCTTCAAAATATTAAAAACAGCCGTGGCTGGTGTGGCACAGTGGACTCATCAGGGGTGTGCAAACCGAAGGGTTGCTGGATCCATTCCCGATCAGGGCACATGCCTGGATTGCATGCCCCCACTGGGCTGGGTCCCCAGTGTGGGGTGTACAAGAGGCAATCACACACTGATGTATCTCTCCCTCTCTTTCTCCTTCCCTTCCCCTCTAAAAATAAATAAACAAAATATTTTTTAAATATTAAGAATAGAACTACCATAAGATCCAGCAATCCCACTTTTGGGTGTATATCTGAAGGAAATACAATCATTATCGAGAAGAGATATCTGCAGCCCCACGCTCACTGCAGCATTATTCACAAGAGCCAAGACAGGGAAACAACCCAAGTGCCCACCAATGGACAAACGGATAAAGAAAATGTAGTGTGCATACAACGGAGTATTTTTCAGCCATAAAAAAGGAAGTCCTGCCATTTGCAACAACATGGATACCTCCTGAAATGAATGGCACATCCATGTTGTCATTATGCTCACTGAAATAAGCTGGGCAGAGAAAGACAAAAATTATGATCTCGCTTCTACGTGGACTCTAAAAAAGTCCAACTCATAGACACAGAACAGACTGATAATAGACTGGTGGTTGCCAGGGAGCTGGGAGAATGGAGAGATTCTGGTCAAAGGGTCCAAAGTTCCAATGATAAGATAAACAACTTCGGGATCTAATGTATAGCGTGGTGACTGTAGTTAACAATACTCTATTGTACATTTGCAAGTTCCTAAGAGAGTAGATCTTAAATGTTCTCACCACACACACACAAAAAGGTATCTGTGTGAAGCATTAACTAACCATATTATGGCAATCATTTCACAACATATAAGTTTATCAGGTCGTCATACTGGACAACCTGAAGTTACACAATGTGATATATCAATTATATCTCAATAAAGTTTAGGGAAAAACACATGGCTTCCACATTTAATGATCTAGGGTAAGCATCACACTTTCTTCACGGTTGGGGGAGGCTCCAAAACACTGCTGTAGGTAGATGCTGAGATAAACACCCTAAAACATTTCAACCAGTATGTAAGAAGACGAGACGAGAGGGAAATGGGGGGAAAAAGGGAAGTGGGAAATAAGAGGAAATGAACAAAAATAAGTGTGCCCATCATCTACAAAGGAAAAAAAAACATGCACAAATCAGGTAATCAGGTATACGACAAATATTTGCCGTCAAGCACTAAGGATACAGCAGGGAACAAGACAGGTGAGATCCCTGCTGCAGAGTTTTCATTCCAGCAGAAGGAAGAAAGACAGCAAACAAGCTGAGACGGGGGTAAGCATCTTAAAGACAAATT